CCCCCCCCCCCCCGAAGCTGCTACTGGCATCTTTGGGCTCCTCCTCCCTTCTTCAGCTTCTGTTGCCTGCCCCCACCCCTGAAGGTGGGGTGAGATGGAGTGGGGCTGTGCAATTAAAAGGGCCAAGGGAGCCTACAGCCAAGTGGCTCAGGGGACCTGCACAGCATGGCACGGCACAGCATGATAGACAGGGCCAATTTATCCCTAATGGTAATGATAATGCTCTTCTGGGGGCATTGCAGTAGGGGGTGAGAATGAGGGGGGAGGGCCTCTGATGCATGGTGTGACACAGAGAGCAGCCCACATAGCTGCAATATGGGGGGTTGTATAGCTAGTGCAGTGTGGCTGGGGGCCCTGTGGCCTTGAGACACTCAAATAGGACAGCCCTACTTTGAAGAATAGATTTAAATCCAGAAGAATAAAATGTTCATTACTGGAGAACATTCATGGGGCAGTTGTCCTGGACAGCTTATTGCTATGGACAGTCCCTAGACAGCCAAAATGTTTCTGCTTCTGAAATTCTTCATAGCAAATTTACATCCTTAAACTTCCTCTGGCTTTCATTAAACTTATGTTGATTTTAAAAGTGAAAAATGTCAAATCCACCCTCAAGGAAAATTTCTAGAGCCAACTATTGCATTTGTACAAGTATCTTAGCCTTCCTTAAGAATTTAATTGAGAATTATATCATCTGATAGAATTAAATGCCTGCTATTGGATGGCTCACAGCATCCATACAGCAGACATAATTCTTTATTGAAGTCTATAGATTTTTAGAATAATTGAGAATCATAAGGGTTTCACTTATTAAATTCTATATAAGGCTTTTGATTAAGGGGCTATCCTCAAGAGCAACTTCTTTTTTTTTTTTTAAAGCTGCAGTCCAAAATGACCTAGCTCAGGTCTGAGGTGGTCTGGCACTGGGACCGGACTGCAGCTGCTGCTTCTCCCAACCACAGAATAGTCAAAGCCCCCTGCTACTGGAAAGCTACCAAAGCCTTTCAGCTCTGCAGGCTGGATCCAGTGGTTCCATGGATTGGATTCAGACCACCAATCAATCCCTGCCCTAGAGGTTGAAGTCAGATTTATCCCTAAGAATAGGCACTGTAGAAGTAATGGCAATGCTCTCTCCCACCATTATACTTAACTCCTTATCTTGGAATACCCCTATACATTGGACAAGGTCCAGGGCATATGAAATATTCAGTCCCTAACCTCCTTGTGGCACATTTGAGCAAAGAGGGAAATTAGTGGCACTTACACATTACTGCTACTTACAGAGTCTTGGAAGTGCCTCTCTCTGATTCTGTACAGAGTTCCCTAACATAGTATCTCTTTCACAGTATCCATTAGGGTCAGTGAGCAGGTGGATACATGGCAATGATCCCATTCACGGGGAGGATTTTGCTCTGAAGTCATCAGGTAAACCAAATTAAAATAAATATTCAGCTGTACAAAACTCTTTGCTCTGCTACTGTTCTGTAGTGAGGGATAATCCTTGTATCTCACTGGAAGATATGTATAAGCATGTTATCTGTTAGTATGGCTACAAGGTCTATCTGAAAATTGGACCACAACATCTATTCTCTGTATGCATGAATGCAAGGGTTCCCAAAGTTTTGGACAGGGAGAGCGACTTAATGAATGAGACACCATGCTGGGTGGGGTCATGTAACAGAATTAATCTGCGGTGTCATCCTTTTGTTTAGCGGAGGTAATATAATGTGCTTTACATAGCTAAAGCCTAGGACAGGGGTTTCCGACCTTTTTGGGTCAATGTATCCCCAGCAGCTGGTTGAGAAGGAAGGAGTCCCCTAGTGGCCAGTCAACGAGCAGTGGAGTCCCCCAGCAGCCAGTTGACCTGGGGGGAGAGGGGTGGAGGGTGTCCACAGTGGGGAGGTTAGTACAGTGTTGAGCAACCCTTTTTGCAACTGTGCCACAAGTTAAGTCCAAAGTAAAGGATAGTTCAAAGTAAAGTCCAAAGTAAAGGATAGTGGCACTCTAATAACCAGCCACCACTATTTTCCAGTGCTGTTGAGTTCAGTGTTGTCTTGTTCCAGTGGCAACAGAATTCCATGGATTCCCCTGGGTCCACATGCTTAAGTCAGTACTGACCCTCTGCTTCTGTCCCCTTCCTGACTGCCACTTTGATCACCATTGCCTTTCCCTGAGTGCTGCTTCGATCCCCATGCTACTGCAACTCCTGCTGCCCTTTAATTCTGTTTCTGGAGCTTGTGTATCAAATATGCCAGGTGTCTGTGCCACTTGTGGCATGCAAGCCATCGACTGGCCACCAGTGATTTAGCATCATTAAATTCATGGGACTTAAGCAGCTGACTTTTCTTGCAACTGTGTTGAGCCAGTGGGCATGTTGGGCCAGCTCACATAACTGAGCATGTCTCAAAACATTTTGCACATTGAAATCTATTTTGGGGGGTGGAGAAAGGGTGGTGGGAGAAGGGGAGCCAGATGCCTTACTAAGTCCAGTACAAAGGTCATTTAATTTATCCTTAATATTGGACCATAGGGCTGCTGCTAAGGTTTGTCATTTGGTTACGACTGAACTGTTAATGACTCTAGCCTTGCTGAGGAGCTAGTTTTATTATAGAAGGCTGCCATTAACTTCGTGGACTGCAAACAAATGCTTTCTTTGCAGGTTACAGGTGGCCTGCAGGTGACATTTTGGAAGCCTCTTTGCACTAGGGAATAATTATGCATCTATTTTGTACACACATTGTGTAGTTGAGGGGTTTGTTATATTTTGGAGTTGTTCATTATGCATCTAGTACTTATGGAAGGAGAAAACCTCCTTAACCAAATCTGTATTTTTTGCAGGTGCTTGTATTGTGAAACACAGTGAAAGCTATAGGACAGGAGCATTTATTTGTTTGTTTACACTTTGTTGGGAATATGTCCGCTCTCCAGATGTGATTCTCCAGGTAGGAATGCCATGAAACTACGTATCTCTGTCATCTTCTAAGGGTTTCTCTTCCCTTTCCCACTCATCCTTCTGATGATTTAGCAAAAGTACATTTTTTCTGGACAGTAAGAGGCAAACCATACTTCTCCAGCAGACTAAACTGATGTACAGATTAAACGAGATGTTTATATTAGCAACAGCAATATGAATAGAAGCAAGACTTGTTGCTGGGTCTTTGAATGCTGACAGCTATGCCAGGACCAAATATGAATATTACTTTAAAAACATTCCTTAGAAGACCAGCCTGAAGATTGGGATATGGGTGGAAAGAGAGAGAGAGATTATCTTCACCCCTACCATTGAAAAGGGATGAGGCCTCAAGGGTGTTTTAAATTAATCTCAGAAGTTCTATTTATAGCTAGGCAGGCACAGTGGTAGAGAAGAGGCAGCCAGCCAATTCTCCTATCCTAGAATATCACACCTTCATTGAGTGTAGCATCTCTCTGAGCCACTTTGTGTTTATGATGTCACTAACAGTTGCTAGGGAAATGGAGAGCCTGCTAACTTGTGTCCTGACAGCAAGGTGGAAGATAAATGGCAAACCCTCTCAAATATCTTTAGACAGGGTCAAAAGGAAATGAATGTAAATGCTAGGCCAGGGTTGAATCACATCAAAGCAAAATTTCTTAGAGCAATCTTTTACTTTATTCAAAATGAAATGAATAAAAACAGGTAAGTCTGCTAATATGACAGTGTAACATCATACATTTGACGGAGTGGCAGCAGCATGGAGTGGTGGGTGGCGGCAGTGGTCGCTGCGTATGAGCTTTCCCCCTCCTCTGCATCTGGCTGGCTGGCTGGTGTGGCCTGCAGAGGGATGCCACTGCCCTTGCACCCCACTGGCTCTGCTCCTGGGAGGTGGTGGCACGGTGATGCATGGTAGTGCTCTGTCCTTGTCCGTCAGTGCATACCCCTTAGGGCCTTCACAACTACCCCAGGGGTATGCCTACCCCTGGTTGACAACCCCTGGAATAGCCCATAAGGCAACTGGTACCTTGAGGCACTAATAGGGCCAGGAGGACCATAGCAGTGTCCCAAGGGGCAAGGTGGAGCTAGACTGGGTCCACTCTGGGGCCCCCGGGCAGCCTTTTGAAACCTTACAAATAACATCAAAGCGTGCAGGCGAGGTAGAAATGGAGGGTACCTTGGGGAGCTGGAGTAGGGGGCAGGGGTTGAGTGGTTAACAGGGGGTGGTATCCTGGCCACCCCTGGTCTCTGATCCTGTCACAAGAAAAACAATATTAGTTTAATAAGAAAGAAATGTGAAATTAACTAGCTCAACATCCTTAGTTCTTACTAATGTACACTGCACTTTTTCAATGTGCTGCTTTTAGTAAGCTGATTTGATTTCAGAATCTATATATAGTTTTAGGAGTAATACTGAATGAACCTGATAAAATGCCAATAATTGGTGTCTTTTGAGAATAACCTTGTGTGTGTAATACAACTAGAAAAGTTTGTGACATTGAATTGTGATAACGTTACATGCCTACTTCCATTATTGCTGTTCTGAATTAAGGTTGTTGTGATGAAGAACCTATTTCTTATCTGATAAGAACATGTGTACGAGAGCTGTAGTGTCCTTAACCATGCATTGCCTGTTTTTAGATGCTTAAATTTTGAAAAGTGATGAAAACCACATACTGTCATTTAAAAACAGGTTTTTTGGGAAAGCAGCTCAGTGTCTTTTTTTTTTTTAATTATGCTTTTCATTTTGTGCCAGTAAATGAAGAATTATTTTTAAAAATGACTGGATGATTGGGTAACCCCATTATTGAGTTAAAATAGGAAGTGGCTGAGGCCAAGGTAACTGGGCCTAACACAAATCTGTCTCATTCAATTCACATTGCACAAGATTTGCATATATTCAGTGTGTAGCTGAATTGGTGACAACTTTACAGCACAGCACAGCCTAGCCTACTTCTGCTATGAGGGCTGGTAAAAAGTTTTGACATTCATAGTAAATTGTCAGACCCAAAAGTGGAACTCAGGCTTAAAATTGCCACAGCCAGTGCCAATGAGCCAGATCACTACAGTGTCAGTCTGCCTCAGCTAATTCCACAGGGAACCTGGCTAGTAATATTTACTTCAGACTGAATTTCTGATAGCTATTCACAAAGCATCCTCAACTTCACTTTATAATAGGCCTAACCATCCAAGGCAATTTATGTGATAGGCACTGAGGATGGAAAAATCATGTAACTATGCACTTAGTCTTACAGGCTTTAATGAGATTTGCTTAAAAACTCCCAGCATGGCTAAGACTAGTTCAGATCCATCAGTGTTAGCAGTGCTGAAAGCCCAAATGTGGCAGGTCTTTGGCACTTTCAGCACTTCTAGAGAAACTCCCATCAACATTATGTTAAAAATGCCAGCAACCCTTCTACTCCAGCAAACACTTGCCCGTCATAGCACTCATATTTTTGGACTCCTTTGTCATAAGAACCATTTGCTTTCAATATGGGATCATTTTGTTTTCCAAAATATGGACACTTATTTTATGTTGTGTTTTGGATTCCAGAGAGATAATAGCCCTGGGAATTGCTGGGCGCTGCGTGGATCTCAAGGGTACGTTGTGATTAAGCTGTCCAAAGTAATCTGTCCTGCTTCTGTGGCATTGGATCATATTTCTAAGACAGACTCCCTGACAGAAGAGATACCCAGTGCTCTGAAGAATTTTGCCATCTATGTGAGTTACTTCCTTACCTATTATAGCAAAACCAACCTTTGCTGATTCTTTCAGGGAGTTGGTTAATGAATCTGAGACTTTCCCACTGTCCCCCAGTATACTCTGGGTTTTGGGACATAATATGCTAGACTATAGATGCTATTATCACCTCTGGCCTTGGCATTACTGATAATAAATCCCTTTATTGTTTATCCTTTCAGGGAATGAAAGAAGATTTTGAAGAGGAGAGAACCTTCTTAGGGGAGTTTGTCTATGATAAGGATGGATCCCCTAACCAAATGTTCAAGCTGGAGGTACGCTTTTGCATCCAAACTGGGAGTATACTATTGCTTCCTATTATAGAGCCATTATGTTCAAAACAGGCTTGTCCTGGTTTTAGGGCACCTCTGAGAGACCACAAAGGGGACAGAGTGCACCCCCAGAGGTTTTAAGCCCCAGGCATTTACTCGTTCTTAGGTAGAATTTTTCAATTCTTTCACTCCTAGGACAAGGGGAGAAGAAGTTACTGTGCGGTAAAACAAGGTGAGGTTTTATAGCACACTGACTGCTCAGCAGTAACTGCTTATGTGCATGTTTTTACCCTGTTGTGAGTAAAAACTAACTTGCAGTAACGTAGTCCTCTTCCTTTTACCCCTCCATGAAAAAAGAAAGTAAACTACTGTGGGTTAGCTTTTATTTAGCATGAGGTAGGAATGTGGGTGTAGATAGCTACCACAGAATTACTGATGCTGTAAATTCTTGTGTTCGTTTAGCTGGTTTAGTAACTTGTTCACGTACCCAATACATAACTGGGTTTTGTGCTGAGTTCAAAGTGCTTGTAGTTTCGTTCTGAAACTTAGTGACTAGGAGTTGAGAGAGCAAGCAGTCTTAAAGTTTTATTTAACAGTAAAAACAAAGAATTAAAAAGAGCAATCAGACAATATGCGGTTCTGGTTCACCTATGGTCTTACTATCCCATGATGTTGAGCAGACCTGCATGTAGACTTCTCCAGACTCCTCTGACCTGGTCTCCCATATCTCATTCATTCTCTCTCTGGCACTACATCTCCCTTTTCCTATGTTTTCAGGACTTGGTCATCGCTAATCAATCCAGTTTTGTAGGCTAGCAGGAATGTGGAGCTAGAATGATCAAGGATAAACTTTCTGGCATGGTTCCTTAGTAACTCTTAGGTGCTACTAATACTTCATCTTTCTGCCTGTTTTTCAGGCAGACCCCTAGTGAGTTGAATCAAGATAGTTGTATAGGCAGCATCACCATAACCAGCTGAAAGGGCAGAATCAAATAATACTGGGAAGTTCCATCTTTATCACTATGTTTCTTTCATACATGTGGTTAAAGTAGGGCTGGAGGAAGTTAAGTAGGGCAGATAAGGGCAGCAAAATAAGGGACATATTACTTCAAACCCAGCTAAGCCTCTTGCTTCCTGGGCACCACTTACACCTGTGCATAAGGGAAAAGAGGCTATTGGAAAAGCATCCTTGGACAATAAGCAAACATACTCTCATATGTCTTATTATTCCCCTTCCACAGGTTGCAAACTTGGAGCACTTTGGATACCTGCAGCTGAGAGTTCTGAGCAACTGGGGTCACCCAAACTATACGTGTATCTATGGCTTTCATGTGCATGGGGACCCAGTACTCTGCACCTATTGGTGAATACCTGCACAATAAATCATTGCATCTGGGTATCATGTTTGAGTCTGATAGCATTGCTATAGCAAGAAATAGCAAATGGAAGCAGATCTGTTTCTCTGTGTTACTTCTGGTTAGCTCTACAATGGGACAAAAAGTAAAGAAGTGTAATCTGGTCCTTATCCAAATTATATTTTTAACCATAGTTAAAAAGTGACATAGTAGAAGTGACAACTTTCTTATTCCAACAGTTAGTTGACAGTGTGTTTTCTGAATTCTATTTGCTTGTTTTAACTGGTAAAATGTGCGTCATTGGCTTGTGGGGTTTTTTTGGAATGTTTTGTTTTTTATACAGGTCTTAAACACTGCAGGGCCAATACTGTTAAGGGAGTTGGATTCTATTTCAGCTTGTGTAACATCAAAGGGAGTTTTATTGAAGTTTCATTTGTAGAATGGTTATTACTATCACTGGAGGATAAGCCAGAAAGAATCCAACTTGACTTTCATTTGGGATGACTGTTTAGAGGAAGCAATTGCTTGCATTTTTCATCTGGAAAAAGAGACACCTAGTACATAGCTTACATGGAGCAAACCATTTTGGAGTTGCTTCTCGGAGCACAGCAACATTTTAACCTTGCTCCTGGGGATTAGAGAAGTTCTTAATTCCTAGGCCGTATGTAATCCTGGTGAAATTCAGAATCAGAAAGGTATATAGCCAAGTCCTGAGTTGCCTTGCTACATGGAAAAGAATAAGGGAAACAAATCCAGTCATTTGCTATTAAAATAGTTTTGCATAGTTAGAATGAAAAGTCAGCCCACTAACCTCAGTCATGCATATGTGTTTGTGTCACCAAGGACCTGCTTGATAGATATTTCCCAGAAGGGAGGAAAAGGGGGCAAAAGCATGGCCCCACTGAAGTCAGTAGGAGGTTGATTTTTATTGGAACCACAATTTCACCCAGTGTCACTGCCCTGAAGAGGTTTTACAGCTTTAAAAGGCCTAAAGGGACTCAGCCCATTTACAAATCATGGGCTGGCCCTAAGTTAGTGTAATAATTGGCATAATTTTGTTGATTTACATATGCTGAGGCCTGGACCCACATGTTATAAGCAAATCTCCTTACAATTATTATTAATGACATTATGAATTGCATACTAATTTTGGAAATTCAGTTGTTGCTACTGATTTCTCCTGCAATTGCTGAAGTAATTTACCATAAAATGAAAATAGAGAAAGGCATTGTTTCTCTAATCTTGTGTTTATAGTCATTTATCATGTGCAGATCTAGGACTTAGAAAAGATGGGTGCAGATAGTGTGGTGAATTACTGCAACACACATTTTTCTCTGGTTAAAAAGAAACTAGAAATTTTACTAATAGGCTAGGGGCCTCAGGCTATAATATTCAGTTTAAGATTGAAGCAAAAATAAATAGAACTACACTGGAATATGCATACATTTGCTATATCGTGTATTATATATAAAAACAGAACAAACCAGGCAAAAACAGTCAAAAGAGGTTTAATTTGCCCTGTAGTCAGTAGAAATAAGTGCACATCCCTTTCAGATTCATTAAATAAAATCTAGCCTTCTTGAGCATCTTGACAGTGCATGCAGTACTTCTACACCTGAGTTAATGTTTCTAGCGAGCATTAAAAGCAGTCTGCAGGGCTATGAAATAGGAGCCAAATTACCAGGATCATCTAACAGACAGCAGAATTGCAGAACAAAGGACAGCTTGATTAGTGGGATAATTAAAAAAAAAAAGGGGGGGGACATCATTTAACATGTGGGGAATGGAGTGTCTAGAAGGAATTGCATGTATTATAATGAGCCAGGACCACAGATGACTCCCTTACTTCTGTCTGAATAGAAATATTGCTGCCATTGCCAGGCAGTTGATTTTGTACTTTGGGTGGAATGGGAATCAAAGTGGAGTGCAGCTGGACCCCTTTTGATCCACCCTGTCAGTTATGCTTCCGGGTTCTTAGTGCTTCAGTGTTTGTATTTCAAGGGTTATACAGGTATGTTGATTTGTTTAATAACTCCAGTTTTCCCTGGATTTTTTTATTTGTGCACATTCCTGGTGGTTTTGTTTGATACACAGGTGTCTTTTTTGTACACAAATGTAAATTGAGAGTTTCTTTTTTAAACTCATGCTGAGTAGAGTTGCATTGCTTAGATAGAGGCCTATATCTGTACAGACTTTTGAACTCTTACTTCAGAAGACTTCTTACTATCCCAGAGAGAATCCATTTTAAAATTAAAATGTCATCAGTATTTACTATGTTCTAATATCTGTGGGCATGCCACAGAGAGAGAAATACAAAGCATATTTATCAGAAGCAGAAACAAGCATTTCTTCATTCAACATGGCACATGCTATTTAGTGTCATCATAAAGCCACAATAACTCTAAGCTTTGAAATTCTGTTAGGTTACAGTATTTCTGTGTACCATCTTGTTCCTCTTGTAAAGAGAAGAGAAAGGATAAACCTTTGCATGTTTTAGTGCTGTTCTAGGACTGCCAGTTTGGAAAAAATTTGTAGTTGCATCTAGTTTTGATACTGCTTCCATATTATGCCAGCTAAGACCTGCTCATACAGTCTTGAAATGATCAAAGTGGCCAAGACTAAATCTGCTGTATTTTAAGGACGTAAACTTCTTCCTCATAAGTGTTATATCTTTAAAACCATCTGTAGCATGATCTGGGCTGCCAGAGTGACTGGAGCACTCCCTGGTGGCCACATGGTTCCTGCCCCACTCTGGGTGCTCAGGGTACTTCTCTGCTTTTTACCTTGCCTGCCAAGCCTTGATGTTTCTTACGGAGTTTCGGGAGGCTGCCCCAGGGTCCCAAAGTGAGCCTCAGGTCCTCATCTAGCCAGTCTGTCTTTCCCCTAGGGAACTAAAGTGTGGCCCTCTTGGCCGTGTCACTATGTTGGGGCACCAGCTGCCTTGGCTGTTTTTGTGGTCTTTGTCCTACCCTGTAGCCACACCCATACCTCACAGATGGTGCTGGATCACCATGATACTTGGCCCTTTGGGCCTCAAGCCTTTGATGGGGTTTCAGCCTTCCTGGTTTCAGTCCCTTTTCTCTGGTTGTGCCCTGCTCAGCCTAGGTTCAGTGCTCCAGACCTCAGGTTCTAGGCCCAACTCCATGTCACCCTTAATGGGCCCTTCAGCCCCTGGGATCCCTTACTCAGGCAAGGCTGCTTGTGTACCACTCAGCCTTCTGGGTTCCTGACCTAGGCCAGGCTGTTTTCTTATCATTCAGCCTCTTTATGAGACCTGTAGGGGTCAGGGATCTATGCAGGGTGCCTCTCAGGTGCTCCTGTGGCCTCTGTGCTGCTCTTGTAGCCACAACCTGGTCCTCCAGTATCAACTTAAACACAACACAAAAACAAGTGAATGGTTTCAAACAGTCTCCCCCAATCTGGGTTTATGTTGTCCTGCAAGCACTACCTCCCTTTTGAGCTCTCATGGGCGTCTCTGGGGCTTGCCAGGGTTTCTCTTTCAGCCCTTCTCTCTCCAGGGCCAAACTGCTAGCCCTGCAGCATGTGCTGGGTTTATATGCCCTGGAGCACTGCCCCTTCTGGTCAGGTGACTCCCTAATTAAGCACAGGGGTTTCCCTTTGGGCTTAATGGGCCCCTCCCTGTTGCCCCTTGACCCAGCTGCTTGCAGCCTTTTCTCTCGAGTTGTCTGGGACTTAGCCTCACACAGCTAGGGTTACTATACATCCAGGTTTTCCTAGACTTGTCCTCTTTTTGGATCCTCTGATCACTGTCCAGGGGATTTTTAAAAATATGATTAAGTGTCTGAGATTTTGCTCTGCTCAGCATCAATGTTTATCCCAGCATTTCCTGGCTTGCCCTAGCAAGGAGTTGCTTGGGGCTGGGAGGAATTGTGGAGGGGAGTGCAATTGGAGGCAGGGTGCATACGCATGGGGCTGGCATGCAGCCAGGCAGGGTGGTAGGAGCAGCCCTGGGTGTAGGTAAGTTGATGGGGAGTTGAGGTTGTAGGGCCAGGATTTGGGGAGTGTGTGTGTCAGGGTGTGTGGAGGGGATGGGGGTGTGAAGGGCGGTGGGTGCCTGCCAGTGCTGGGAAAAGATGTCCAGGTGCTGGGGCTTCAGCAGTGGAGGGAAGGTGCCTGCCCCTCCATCAGGGTACAGGTGCAGGGGAGTGCTCTTTGGTGGCACTAGGCAGTGTGCCCATGCCCCTGGTGTGGCTGGGAGTCGCTACAGGGTTGGGGGAAGCAGGGGGTTGAGAGTCAGGAATACAGGGCACTGGCAGCACCCAGGGGCTATGGGTCAGGAGTGAGGGGCAGCAGCAGAGATGTAGGGGGGGGCTTCAGGTTTGGAGTGAGGTGGCACCAGCATGGCCCAGAAGGCAGGTTACTGTAGGTTGGAAGTGAGAGGCAGCAGCAGGGCTGGGGGAGGGGAAAGCTTTGGTGTGGGTGTGAGGGGCAAGAGACTGGGCAGAGGCAGGGCATCAGTATATCACTGCCCCCCACAATCAGATAAGCCCCACCCCTCAACAGGTGTCCTCTTCTTTTGGAGCATGGAAATATGGTAACCCTACACACAGCAAGCTTTTTGCAGTGCAGCTGGCTTTTGCTCAGCTACCTCCCTACCACAAGGCTAGCCCACTGCACTTTTCCCTTAACGAACAGGGGCTTCTGGCTCCCCGTCATGACATCTTCTTCAGAAAGTGAAAAATAAAACATATTTTTTAATATTACAGCCAAATTTACCTCATTCTGGCTGTACTGCACTGAGAGAAGTACAACCTATCAGTTAACCTATATATCAGTATAATTGGATCAATTAGAACAAATATCTAAGTATGATAGTCTTGGGAGGACAATGACCAAAGAAAGCTAAGGGTATTTATGATACCTTCATAATAGTGGTTTGTGTGCAATCAGATTTGTGTCCAGCACATTATCCATCTCCTCTACATAGCTATCAAAGTTCAAAGGTGAGAATAACTGTATATATCTCTTCTGCTGAGTATTATGCTAATCTG